TTACTTTTCGACTTCTTGAAAACTACAGCCTGAATGCTTTGATACTTGGTGTATATGTACTGGGTAGACCTCTCTCAGATTTGTTCATTTCATGATGATATCTTCAATTCTCTAATTTGGGTGAATATTTTTGTCATTTTTGGTAAAAAGTGATATTTTCAACTTCTTGTTAAAAAACTGCAAGTCCAATTGCTTTGATATTACATATATAGGTACTACATGTGGACCTCTCTCAGATTTGTTCATTTTGTAATGATATATTTAATTCTCTAATTTTGGTGAATGTTTTTGTCATTTTTGGTAAAAAGTGATATTTTCAACTTCTTGTTAAAAACCGCTAGTCCAATTGCTTTGATATTACATATATAGGTACTACATGTGGACCTCTCTCAGATTTGTTCATTTTGTAATGATATCTTCAATTCTCTAATTTGGGTGAATATTTTTGTTATTTTTGGTAAAAAGTGATATTTTCAACTTCTTGTTAAAAACCGCAAGTCCAATTCCTTTGAGACTACATATTTGGTACTACATGTGGACCACTCTCAGATTTGTTCATTTTGTAATGATATCGTCAATTCTCTTATTTTGGTGAATGTTTTTGTCATTTTTGGTAAAAAATGATATTTTCAACTTCTTGTTAAAAACCGCTAGTCCAATTGCTTTGATATTACATATATAGGTACTACATGTGGACCTCTCTCAGATTTGTTCATTTTGTAATGATATCGTCAATTCTCTAATTTTGGTGAATATTTTTGTCATTTTTAGTAAAAACTGATATTTTTTTCTTGTTAAAAACCACAATCATTTATGGTGAAAAATGATATTTTTGAATTCTTGTGGAAAACAGCAAGTCCCATTGCATTGATACTATCCATATTGTTCATTTTCTAATGATATCTTCTGCTCTTTAATTGAAATGTGCATCACTAACAGCGGAGCTATCTCAGCCGAGAGGCTGCTTGTTTAAATCTCTGGTCACAAGGTAAAAAAACAAGAAATACTTCTATGCTAATCAAGAATTTTTAGAGAATTAAATACTTTCTGTATTATGAATTTTTCTATTGTACATATTGATGAAATAAACGTTCAGAGGAATTAGTACATACCACATAAATATTGAATTTCATCTGAATTTAGTGATTAACAGCAATGTCATTGTGAAATCTTGTACAAATTTTGTATGCAATTGAGCAGGAAAATGTATAAGGGATGACGTCAAAAAATTGATTTTGGATAAAGAATGTATTTGCTTTAGTCTTGGAGTATTTGTAGTTCGTTTTTTTCTATCCAATCATGGACAAAAACAACAGAAAATGAAAAAAAACAAACATCCAAGACGAGAAAATGGTTTTGTCAGAGTGTAAATATGTGTGTCAAATGAGGTCAATTTCAGGGCATGGACCTAGGACCAACTGCTATGCCATACTACTGTCCGATTATCAATATGTATTTAATGGTGAATGTAGTAGTGGGGGGTTTGGTAAAAAGGAATTCATTTTTTTATCCTACATTGAACTTTTGATATTGTCCCTAAGGAATATACACGATTTTTTAAAAAAAAGTTTCTATTTCTATTCAAATAACAAAATTAGTTATTTATAAATATTTCTTAGAAAATTCTCTGAAGTAAACTACCCACACGTATCCAGAGTGTCAAAAACCTGTTTCTAGTCAACATGATAAAGTTGTATATTCCATCCATTCCTAATCAATGAATCCTGGGGCGAGTTGACAAGACCAACTGTTTAGGTTACTTTTTGTGTGGTTACAACCCCCCCCCCCCCACCATCCCCCACCATACTTGAAATTAGGAATGGTAGTTCACCTACCTCATGGGCATGCTTTTATATACTGCTCACTAAGTTTGTTTGATACTCATCTATCAAATGTTGGTAAGGTATGTATGACTGAATATAGTAAAATACACCCCTCCCCCTTGAGATAATTTGAAATTTGACATAGAAAAATCGTACATTCGCCTCCCATCACTACAATATACCATAGATTCCAGTGGCAAAACAATTGGAACTTTGAAATGCTAGTCGGGGGGACATTGTAGATTTTATCGGTTCCCTGGCATGCTCATTTCAAAACCAGGGACGAACTCGGACGCTCAGCCCTTTGAGTTTATTCACAACTCCAATATTAGTAATGCAAGTATTACAGAGTGTAATAAAATTATTCCCAAGGGGAATTCGTGTATTTTCAGGACCCCAGACTTGAGTAATATATTTGTGCACGAGTTTTCGCCCTAACAATTCATCCATACTCCAGATTTATATTTTTCGAACAAACTGGTTTACAACTTATACCTTCAATACTAAACATTACAAAATGTCTCACAAGGTGGAGTGCCCTCTATGGTGGATCGGACATTTGCTAGGGGAAGTAAAAATAGAACTCAGACATTTTTTAGTGTGATATAACAAACAATGTAAAATTTTGTTTTCAACCTACTAACCCAAACCTGTCGGAGATTGCTTCAATACTATATTCTGCTTCCAGAATCCCTACATGAAGAGGTTCCATTTGTGATATTACACAGAATATATTGTCAAATTCTCTCCGCTTTCTCGTCAGAGCTTAAAAATCGTAATGCAATCTATGTCTATTATTGCAGTCACCAGTTACTTATATACCAAACGAATTATAGGAAACGTGGGCTTTTCATTTGGTGCAATTTTACTAAATACCTAATATTTTGGTCTTGTATAATGTGTATGTACATGTGCAGCAAGACAGATCATAGACAGATAAATCACTTGACGTGCAATGTGGAGTTTCAAGTCGCAAATTATTGACTCTTAAAAATCACCATTTCACAAGAATTGTTATAAACCATCTGTTAATACAGGTAATTGACATTTTAAAACTTGTCTGCACAAAGATTATTTGGTTACAATCACTGTGGAAACACTGTACGTGATGAATATTTATGCTCTAACAGTCTGCTAAGCTTTACTGCAGACATTTGTTGTTAAACATTCGAGAATGCAT